CCCCCCCCCCCCCCCCACCCCCTCGTGCTTGGTGATGCGCTAGCCTGGTCCATTGCAAAACCCGGGGTGAGGTCAATGGTCTAACGACTACGGCACATTCGGCTAAGAGTACACCCCTCTTGATAGTGCGCGCAATCTCAGTTCTCGGTGCCTTCATCCGCTTACTGGACCTCGTGTGCGTATGTCCGTACTTTTCTATTGCTTGGCAACGAAAGGAATGCTTGGAGACTTCATCCGACTCACCGACTACGTGGCCGTGGAGGCTCTCGTCAACCTCACCGTGAGAACCAACGAGATGTTTCTGAGGGAGCTGCTCAAGCCCAGGAAGGCGGGGCTGTTCGAGACGACGGTCCTCTTCACCGACGAGGGGACAGCGTTCGCGCCGACCTGCGAAGATATAAAGGTCGGGGGAATGGGCAACAAACGCCTCTCATCTTGCACAGATATAGTAACTCATCGCCCATCATGCCCCCCCGGCTTGTCTATTACGCCGCCTGATGTTGATGTGAAAGCCTCCTCCCACTGCAGGGGCGTCAATCGAGCCCTCTTGGCGGTTCTCGGCACGCTACTCTGAGGTTGCTCCTAGCAAGACGGAGTAATCAAGACCGCCTAACAGCGATTGTTAAAGGTCTGTCGGTCCACCCCCTTCCCTCGTTCGTCCGACTCTGACAAACACCCCGTAGGACATGGTGACCGCAATCACGGAGGCCGTGATAAGCACCGTGAACGGGGTGGGCCGAATCCTGTACTTGCGGCCGTTCAACGAACACGTCGGCACGTCGGTGACGGACGGGCCGAATATCCAGGATATCGTGAGGGGATCGCGGGCCTTCCAAAAGACGTCGGCTGAGATAAGCGGGAAGGTCGAGGCTGATTTCGCCGAGGCCGAGGTAACACATGGAGTTGGTGTCATGACTCACAGGCGAAATTGAATATTGCCACATGGAGTTAGTGTCGTCGCTCGCAGACAAAGTTGAGTAGTGCCGCATGGATTGAGTGATGTGGCTTGCAGACGAACTTGGGCAGTGCCTACGCTTGTGTTCGCCTCGTAAAATGGATGTTGAGATCGTTTCGGAGTCAACACGTGGATCTGAAGACCACGGCGTTTTGTAGAGATCAAGGCGGGTTCGAAAGTAAAATGTAGCAATATGATATACAATTAAACTTGAAATATCTAGTACGTGTATCCCATCATCGTCGTACCTTCCACGTGGAGTCCATCCTGGGTTGGTGGCAGTTTTGCTCTCCCCCCATAGTATCCCCGTCCACCACACCGTTACGCATGACAGAGAAACCTCCTCCCCTTGGGATGAACCTTGCCATCTGTCAGGAATACGTGGTAACGTTCGACAGCGTGCGCCCGATCTTTGAGTACAGCCGCACCTGGGACTTCAGAGCGTACAAGATGCAGCAGCACAGCGTCACGACGCTGCGGGAGCAGATGCAGCGCATCGGGGTCTGGGTGAACGAGCTCGAGAAGATGCGCGCGCGGCAACCGTGCGGGATGCTGGAGGTGGAGAGCCGCAAGCTCAAGCAGACGCTGATCCCCATGACGGAGGAAAAGATGGACCAGATGAAGACCCTCGTGAAGGATCTGGCCAGGTCAAAGTGCAAGGAGCAGCTGGAGAAGTACAAGTCGCGGCTGGCCACTGTCGCGCAGAAGCCGACGCACCTCAAGGACTTCGCGGGGTGAGCGAGGATAGGATGTGGCTGATCGAGCGATTGCTTCACAGTCTTTCGGGGATCGGCACGTCGACAGAGTCTACCGGCCGACTAAAAAAAACAGACCTAGAGTTTTCCACGGGTACAAGCGGCTACTTCCCCAAACGACAGAATCCGATAATGGTACGGACGGCGGAAGGCTGAAACATGCCAAGTTTGGGAAAATACATCGTTTCCGGAGTGCATGCTGTTGAGCAGGGACCCACAGCCATGGCACACAGCACGGCAGACGCAAAGCTTGGGTTTGTTGGGAAGTGGGATGGGAGAAACGCTATTGCGCTTGGCTGCAGAGGGGACGGTACTAACTTGGTCATTGATACTGATTTTTTGCTGGTGCGTCCGCCATCCTCTTACCGCCTGGGTTGAAACCCTGCTAGGTATGTGGAGCAGCTGGAGGCCCTCAAGTCTCAGGAGAAGACGATCACAAGGAACGCGCAAGTCGTGGAACAGATGTATGCGCTCCTGGCCCAGTACGATGTCAAGGCCCCCTCAGAAGACATGGTGCAAGTAGACGACTTGCGCACCATACAGGTGGGATCTATCACACGATTTCATATGAGAGGGCGATGTCTGCGGTTCAAGAAAGACGACCAGTTGTTCCACTAACGCTCTTCTCGATGTCCTTCTCCAATTGTCGTTGCCGACTACTGTTTTTTTCAAGACTGTGCTTTCACAGGTACCCTTGGGCCAACTCAGTGGCAAACCAAGTCAGCACCGCGGTTATCTAAATTGTTGCTTGTACTTCGTCATGTGCGACACAGGCGCAATACCAAGAGAGCATGGAGTCGGCCAGGGACGAAAAGGAGAAGCGCATGCCCGACATGGTGCGTGACCTCGACACTAACATCGCTCGCCTCAACGACCAGTTGGTGCAGCTGGGAGCATCTCTGGACGAAGGCGTTTTCGTCGACGCCACGTCCTTTGGAAACACGGGGCTGGTCCTGGCCGAGCTGGATCGGGTCAAGCAAAGGCTGGCGGCTGTGGACACGCTGGCCAAACAGTACTCGGCTTATCAGGCTCTTTTTGGAATTACTGTGTACAGGTGAAAAGTTGTTGTTTTATTATTCCTGCAATACTACATGTGGGAGCCTCGGGTAGATGGATTCGAGATCGGACACGGAACACACCTTGTACGGCTAAAAAAGCCGTTAAAACATGTGAATACAGTGCCAGGCAGCGACTGCGCCCCCCCACTGCCGGCCCTAATCTGTCCAATATCACGTGGTCGTACGCATCCACAAGGACTAGAGGTAGACTAGAGGAAAAATATCTGCGGAAATATCCCAACGAGCCAGGTACTTGCATGTCGTTGGACTAGTTTCGGGATTGTTTCAGCAGACAGGCGGCTTGTCTGCGACATGGGGGATGTTTGACCGAGGGATGGTTGGTGCCCAGAACGCATCGTTCGAGCTCATCGCCTGGGTTCGCGCCTTGGCACGAGTATTTTGAACCCTGAACACAACAAGATTCACATCGGCCTGACCCTCGTACAACCGAAGTTAGGTTGGAACCGTGTCCCCTTGTCCCGCACCTCTCTCGAAAACGGTAGCTACAAGAACCTGAGCAAGGCCCAAGACAAGTACGACCAGATGGATGCGCTGTGGCAGACGATATCGAGATGGAACGAGAAATCCGACTCCTGGATGAACGACCCTTTCACCTCTGTCGATGCCGAGGCCGTTAACACCGAGGTTCAAGTTTTCGTCAAAGACGCTTTTTCGGCGCACAAGAAGGCGAGTGATGGCGAACCCTCAAGCGATGCGGTCCAAGATCCAGTTTAACGCAATAAATACTGCAGGACAAGCTATTTCGAATAGAGCATATGCTTCCCTACAGTGCCACACGCGAAACGTTGGGTTGTTTCCACGGGAATTTAATAGTCAACGTCAGGCTGATGTATTTTGTTTTGCTCGCGTCAGGCGTTGTCGCATGTTGTTGATGCTGTTGGTACTGCTTGTTGATGTTGATCTTAGTGTTGTCGTTTTCGTTGCTCACATCATTTGCTGTGGTCATCTATTGCTGCTTGTCACCTTGTGCGCATGAAAAGGCCAATTTCTGCTCTTATCCTGTAAAACCTTGCTGCAGATGAGCTCTGAGGTGACGTCCAGGCTAAAAGAGGCCACACAAGAGTTCAAGGCGCAGCTTCCGGTCATCGTGGAGCTGGGTAACCCGGCCATGAAGCCTAGACATTGGCAAAAACTGTTCAAGGCTATGAACCAGCCCTATTACCCCGATCTGGTGTTTTCCTTGTCGGAGTTGCTGGATCACGGGGTCGCTCAGCACGCAGAACTCGTCAACGAGATCAGCGCAGCTGCCAGCGGAGAGGAGCAGCTCAAGGAATCCCTTGTTGGCATCAGCAAGGCGAGATCTATGCACAGCACATCTCGTGTGTGTTATTGTTTTGTAGGGCACAGAACGTCATTACCGCGCTCGCCTGCCGTGCTTGTGGCGTTTTTCGCGGAACGGCAGTTCTACCATTGTGTATCATTCCACGTCACCCTTTCATCTCGCTCTCTCCGGCGTGCCGGGAGGTATCGAGGACTCATTTTATGTTTTTTTTTTTCTATTTTTGCTTGGTAGTAGTACAGTAGTGACAGAAATAGCGTGCTTTTTGCTTTTTTGTTGTCGTCGTCGTCGTCGTCATCGTGGTCGTCGTCGTTGTCGTTGTTGAATGGCTGTTACTATTATTGTTGTAACCCGTTTGTGGACTGTTCATCAGGGTTGGGAGGAGACGGCCTTCATCACGCTAAACCATCGCGAGCAGCCGGGCGTGTTCATTCTCGGAGGGCTCGAGGAAATTCTCATGGTCCTGGAAGACAACCAGGTCACGCTGCAGACCATGATGGGCTCGAGATTCATCATGGGTGTCAAGGACGAGGTATGCCAAAAAGGAGATGAGAGGACAACAAGCTTCGCCATGACACCGTGCATTAGTTTCACGTTGTTTCTCCGACCCTCCGGACTGGAGCCCTGCGGTTGAGAAAGGGCTGCGGGGGGCACGCGACGGGATGGCAACATCCACAACAGACGATTGGACTTAGCGTGACACAGTTCCAACACTTTGTCACGTGTTCTGGACAATGTCGCACATAAGTTGGTTACGAGTTTCGTTGGAGTTGAAATCGAGGGTTAGTCTCACCAAATGTTCGTAACATCGCCACGTGTTGGTGCAGAACCCCAAGAGCTGATGCTAGCCCTGTTTTCCTCCTAACACAATTTTCAGTGCTCTTGCGTGTTTTGTTTGTGTGTTTCGTTCATATGCACACGTAGGTCGAAGCGTGGGAAAAACGTCTCGGCCTTCTCAACGAGACCCTGGACGAATGGGTGGCCGTGCAGCGAAATTGGATGTACCTCGAAACAATCTTCTGTGCCGAGGACATCCAGAAGCAGCTGCCGGACGAGGCGGCCAAGTTTCAGGCGAGTCCTGCTGCGTTCTACTCGATAGAACAATGCAAACACCCCCATGGGCACAACGGTTTAACCGTAAACGTCTGTCTAGATATTCTGACAATACTTCAACAATTTTTTGGGTTTGTTAGCATCATTTTAGCAGTACACATGCTTGACTTGGTTGGTTTGTGCCCAAGGGCGCATCGAATCGGGACCTTTTACAATTTTACTGAAGATGGTGACCATTGCCCGAGAATGGCCAAGGCATGAGAATAGAACGTCGGGGCCTTATATAACCACGAAAATACGTCATTCTTTTTCCAGAAGGTGTTTGTGTCTATACCAATATCACAGCACCATCGATGAGAGCATGATCGATATGACACGTTACCGCCCCCTTCCATATTGCTCTAACACGCGAAAGACCCCCTGCTACACCCCCGCTTCCGTGCTGCAGGCAGTGGACAAGATGTGGAAGTCGGTAATGTTGGCTACCAACAAGGACCCGCTGGTGCTAAGCTGCGTCGGGGAGGGAAAGACGTACCTCGCGGAATTTCAACATGCGAACCAGCTGCTGGAGGAGATTCAGAAAAGCCTCGAGGAGTACTTGGAGACCAAGCGCATGGCGTTCCCCAGGTACACGCGAACACGCACGACGTTGTCGGCGTCGGTCTGTTGTTGTTGTCGTTGTCGTTGTTGCCGTCGTCCACCATTCTTTGCGCAGTCGACAAGAACTCGATCCAGACAGCCAGCTCCGCACTCGAGCCTAAAGGAAACATGGAAACCGAACGCGTTGAATCAACCGCAAAAAACACAACTTTTAGACGTGAAAACAGCCTTGTGAAGACAAGCACCTGAAGCAAGCAACAATGTATCGTCACGGCCCTGTATCGTGGAGGTTTTTCTTCTTGTCGAACGACGAGCTGCTGGAGATCCTCTCGCAGACGAGGGACCCCCGCGCGGTGCAGCCACACATGTCAAAGTGCTTCGACGCCATCAAGAGCATTCGCTTCGGCGATGGCCCTGCAGAACATGACATCTTCGGCTTCATGGTAAGCGGCCGGTTTTGGGTGTGATTGCATTCAAGAGCGGGTGGGGTTGACGTATAGGGTTTGGGTTCTCGGTGCCCATGGTGTGTCCCACCGCACGTGCATCGGAGAATGTGAACCTCGCCTGCTCGTCATACACCAACCCTCGATTACCGTTCCGTTTCATGCCATTTTTTAGGTCGTGTGCCAATTCTTCTCGCCAGTGATTGTCTTTCACTTGGTTGCGTGCGGCAGTCTCCTCTTGCGTCGTTTCTTCCTTGTCCATGTTCTGAAATACAACAAACACTACCCAGATGTTCTGATCTCCTGCGTGCTGTCGCTCCCTATTCCCCCCCCGGACCCTTCGTTTCCGGCACCCAATCTCTCTGCACTTGAAAAAACACTGGCATCTTGTGCCCACCTTTCAAGGACCCCGGTGGGGAGTACGTGGCGTTTACCCGAGGAGAGGTAACCGCCGAGGGGCCAGTCGAGTCTTGGCTCGTCCAGGTGGAGAAGGCGATGCGAGACGCACTGTACGACAACGCCAAGAGAGCGGTCAACGAGTACCCCAAGGGCAGGGATGCCTCCATCCGCAGGAACGAGTGGCTGTGGGACTACCCAGCTCAGGTTGGTTGCTTCTTAGGACCCACATGCAAAGCCTTGCCTCTCCTTGAAATATGAACCGAGCAAGAATGAGGTAACTCCATACACTTGCCAAGTAATCCCCGCTGCGACTTTTGAACCCTGAAACTTTGTGCACATCGGGTGAATTCACGATGCAAGTTGTTGTACTGAGGGGCCGGCCTGCGGTTGACTTCAGCCTGACAAAGACTGTTGTGCTGGCTTCATTCGCGACCTTGAAACGAACACCGAGCCTCCCCGACGCCGCAGGTGGTCATCGTCGTTGACGAGGTCATGTGGACCGGAAACCTCGGGTCTTCCATCCTGAGGGTGCAGCAGGCCGGCAAAAACGCCTTGCCGGACGAAACCGTTGTCGGGACCGAAAACGCCAAGTCATTGCTCCTCGAAAAGATGCCCGAGGGCGATGACGTCGCCGTCGAAGGCCCGCCGGAGGCCGCGGTGCAGACCTTCCTAGACTACAGCTTGGAGCAGATCGAGGCTATGATCGACCTCGTGAGGGGAGATCTGGACAAGTGAGACAAACATGTCGTCATCAGTTCGGAAACTCCCGACTTGTGTCAAGTATTTTCCGACCACAAGGGCAAATATGGGATCCGTTCTATTTTTTGCGCCTCTACGTTCTTGACATGGGAAAATTATTGAGAGTTTCCATTTACTCTCAATATTTTCAGTTGGGGGTTGTAGGAAAAGGATTCGCGACGTAACGCTTTCCAGATCCAAAAAGAGTATTGAAACACCAGCAACTGTGTCATCCGTCCTTTGCACAGCGCGACACGTTCTTCCTGGGGTGTCAGGTGTTGCTCACGAAATGGTCTATGCTGTCAGCCCTCATCTCGCGTGTTTTGTCACGAAACAGGCAGCAGCGGACGCTGATGGGAGCGCTAATCACTATAGACGTACACGCCCGCGACGTGGTACGGTTCATGGTGAAAACAAAGGTTAGAGGCACCGCGGGAACGAAGAAATAGCCGAGAGGGTGCGGTAATGACAGAAGGCAGGACGTTTGGATGGGGTTGGTTGCTTTCGACGTTGCACCTCAAAGATACATCAGGACGGCGCGGAAACAACATTTGCAATTCGTAAACATGACTTGGACTGCCGCAACCTTCTTCATTCATGTCGCAAGTATGGTGGCGGAGACAAAATGTTGGAGTACGTGGCATTGCCAACAAGGAGGACCCGCGTCTGAACCAAGGCCTGGGAACGAGAAGACAAAAGGAAGAGAAACAAGAAGAGAACTAGTAACAGTGGGAGAATATCCCTCCCCCCACTTCTCTGTCCCGCGACACGACTTCAGGTGTGCTCCGTGTCGGACTTCGAGTGGACGAAGCAGCTGCGGTACTACTGGGAGGAAGCCGCGGACGACGTTGTCGCCCGGCAGACCAACACACGCTTTCTCTACGGTTACGAGTACCTCGGGAATGGTCCCCGCCTCGTCATCACGCCTCTCACAGATATCTGCTACATGACGCTAACGGGGGCGCTGCACATGAGACTGGGAGGCGCCCCCGCCGGCCCCGCCGGAACAGGAAAGACGGAGACGACCAAAGACCTTGCCAAGGCCCTGGCCGTGTACTGTGTGGTCTTCAACTGCTCCGACGGGCTGGACTACAAGATCATGGGACGCTTCTTCTCGGGTCTCGCGCAGCAGGGGGCCTGGGCGTGCTTCGACGAGTTCAACCGCATCGACATCGAGGTGCTCAGCGTCATCGCCCAGCAGGTCCTCTCCATCCAGCAGGCGATCGTGCAGGACGTCAAGACCTTTGAGTTCGACGGCAACATGATCCCGCTCAACAAAGGCGAGTTTCTCGCTGAGCGATAGCATCCGTGCTACGAATCATCTTGGATGATCTATGTCGGTGTTGAAGAAAACAACCGCTCCCGGCCTACAAGGCGACCGGTTTGTCTGTTGTAGTGTTTGAGTCACCATCGTTTCTTGCCAGGCTTGAGTCGTTTGATGCCAATGAGTAGTTTGTTTGGGTTGTTTAATTGTGAAGGCACATACACGTTGTTTTTCGCGATGCTGCCGTAGTTCACGTCACTCTCTGCCCTAACCCGAAAGGAAAACTATGAACAGCAAGGCACGTTATGGTAGGTTACAATGATGGACTCTGATAAATCCAACGCCCGCACCGCGCGCATGGCTCAGGTTTCGGCGTGTTCATCACCATGAACCCGGGGTACGCCGGTCGTACCGAGCTTCCGGACAACCTCAAGGCTCTGTTCCGGCCTGTGGCAATGATGGTGCCGGACTACCGCCTTATTGCCGAGATCGTCCTTTTCAGCGAAGGGTTCACGAACGCTCTGCCCTTGTCGAACAAGATGGCTCAGTTGTACTCGTTGTCCTCCGAGCAGCTATCCAAGCAGGTGCGGCGCTGTGGAGGGTGGAGCATGAAGTATTGCGCTACGTAGATGGGGTTGGGGTTGTGCAATGACCTAGCGGTGCTTGAGTAGCTTCCGAGCATATGTGCTCAAGCGCCGAAAGTGTATAGACCAGAGGACCCTCGAGGATCCTTTTCCCTCACCCAATGGCGGCGAATCTCGTTTGTAGTAGCTCAACAAAAACGAAGAACGCAAAGGAAACCCGTGAACTGAGTTGGGCACAATTGGTAAACAGCTGGTCGGTTCCGTTGAAATGGACAACCGCGGCCTACGAAGAACAAGACATTCTTGCAACACATGATCTTTCCGTGGGCACGACTCATGCCCAGGACCATTACGACTTCGGGATGCGAGCGGTCAAGTCGGTCCTCGTCGCGGCCGGGCAGCTCAAGCGCAAGGAGCCCGGGTCCAACGAGGACCTCGTCCTCATCCGCGCCATGCGCGACTCCAACGTGCCCAAGTTCCTGGAGCACGATCTGCCCCTCTTTCACGGGATCGTGTGTGACCTCTTTCCCGGTGTGGTGGTACCTTACGTGGACTACGGGGTCCTCCAGGAGGCCATCGAAGCGGTCCTCGACGACAAGCAGCTGCAGAAGGTCCCCAGCTTCATCTCCAAGATCATCCAGGTGCACGAGACTCAGCTCGTGCGGCACGGCATGATGGTCGTGGGGGAAGCCGGGTCGGGAAAGTCGGCCAACGTCACCGTGCTCGCCAACGCACTCAGCCGGCTGCACTCCGACGGGGTGGAGGACCGGGACGGCTTCTACAAGCAGGTCGACCGGTTGCACCTCAACCCCAAGTCTATCACGGCAGGTGTGATAGTAGGAAGAGTTTTGTTTCATCAAGCCTTCCTTGTTCATCAGTAGGGGTCCTTCTGCAGGCAGCCATGACGACCACCACCGGCAAATTTGCCTTTGCTGTTCCGTACAAACTTCTTATTTTCAGTGCAAGCAGGTCCATCCATTTAAATTGAAACGCGGAGAACGATGGCTTGGAAGCAGACATTGACAACACCCCCGTTCGCTCTCTGTTCCTGTACGAAATCTTGATACAGACGGAGATCATCGATGCCGGTGCGAAGCGGCTTGCGCGGTCTGAGCCGTAGACATTCTCTCAATCATCAAATCAACCCCCGCCCGCCGCTGCGGGCCAGCCACCACAACAGAGACATCCACGAGAGCTAAAATTCTCCATGCAGTTGCCTTAAACGAGGATGACTTTGCTCAACATTCCCGTGGCAGGTGAGCTGTACGGCGAGTTCAACCTGATGACGAGCGAGTGGACTGACGGACTCGTCCCAAAGATGGTTCGGCAGTGCGTGCAGGCCGGTACGGAGGGATCAGACAACCGTAAATGGATAATCTTCGATGGGCCGGTGGACGCGGTCTGGATCGAAAACATGAACACCGTCCTGGACGATAACAAGACGCTGTGCTTGGCCAACTCCGAGCGCATCAAGCTCCCCATCACGCTGCATATGATGTTCGAGGCGAGTTGATCGCGCCCCGATGCATAGAAAGTGTGTGCGTGGCGTGTGAGATTCTTTCGAAAAGGTGGATTGTCAGAGGGAATCGCAGCAGGGCAAGAGCGACCACAGGGGTCCACTTCCCTCAAAAGTACCACCGCCTAGCTGATACGATGGACAATGATTCAAACATCGAAACTAGCCTTAAAAGGTGAAAAAGGCAGAGAAACTCCCCCCAACAGTAAATTATGTTTCCAACGACCTCAGTTCTTGCCTGTCCCTCAACAAGTACACACCACACGTCACTCCTAATACCGTGGCACGACCAGGTCCAAGATTTGAGGGTTGCCTCCCCCGCAACCGTCAGTCGCTGTGGAATGGTCTACATGGAACAGATCCACGTTGGAATCCGGAGCCTAGTCAGGAGCTGGGCCATTCGCGACTTGCCCGCGCTCTTGTCGGATACTGTGTCGTGGGAGCTCGTCGAGTTGATAGAGAGGTGAGACAGCCAGCTATTCGCGCCACAACATGTCGTGTTATTCCGGGTCTGCAATAACGGATATTGCGAGATCTGTTTGTCACAGTTAGTTGTTGACAGCAGAACGACCGTTCTCTGGGCCTGTGGAAGTTTTGATTTCGACCGACTCTTGGCAAAATCTTGCACTCTTTGTGAACACGCCTTTGGAGGTTTTCGTTTGAAAAAATTAGCTATGCCCCTCCACTGGGGAGGCTAGCAATCAGGAAGAGACAGGTACGAAGTCTCTGCTGTGTGTTTAATTTAAATGAAGTGTGTGACAGTCGTTCCATGGAATGCCTCGCCAATTATTGCCCAGAGTTTGACCGAGGATATCCTCTTGCTCCCCTTCAAGCAACGTCGAATATCCTCGGTCTTGACTGTGTAGGGGTTTGATAAAGGTACAGGGTGACACAAACAGAACGCATCCCAACATGGGGCGCGCTCCCGCCCCTCCCTGAAGACAACGATACTATCCCTTCACTACCCGGTTCTCGTGCCCAATACCGTCATTTCGTAACATAGGCACCTGGAGGCCGGCATCACTTTCGTTGGTGAAGAATGCAAGGAAACGGTACCGTCGAACCCTCACAACCTCGCGCAGTCCCTACTGAACCTTCTCGGATGCATGCTGGACCCTGCCCAAGGGTTCGACGCTACCCACCCCAACATTGGCACGCTGCTGAGGCTGGTGTTCGCGTGGGCGTTCGTGTGGAGCGTGGGCGCTAACGTAAACGACACCACCAGGTACAGACGTTGGCAGCAGCCTTTCCTTCAAGACGTCGAAAGGGAGCACCAAAAAACAGTCGCACCGAATGATTAGCTTTCATGCTTCATATCTTTGGTTGTTGATTCATGCTTCATGTGGTATGTGTTTTTGCAGTTCTGTTTAACTATCCCCATGCGTGACACCCAAACCTATGCCATCTTGCGACAGACCCAAGCTCGAGGCGTGGGTCGGTGACAACTTCCGGTCGCTGGTGGGTAGCGGGAGTCCCTTCCTTAGAGATGTGTACGGCATGGCGGTGGATCTCAAAACGGCCGAGTTCGTCCCATGGACCACGCTCATCGAGCAGTTCGTCTTCGACAAGGACGAGCCGTACTTCAACATCATGGTCCCCACCGCCGACACCACGAGGTAAATTAATATAATTGGACGACTCAATCTACGGAGAATACAACGAGAACCTGTTGTTGACTTTATTGTGCTTCCGGGTCGGTTCTGTACCCCGGTGTGGTCATTGTGTACTTGACCACCGCTACACCAGTAGATGCAGGGACAGGACAATGAAAAATGAAGGACAGATATTGTTGCACTTGTTTGGTGCGCCGTCACTGCCGCACCCCGGCTTCCTTCGTCCGGTGACCCGGGATCCTTGTAAGCCAAGGCCGATGAAAGTCGGACGACGTGTCCCAAAAAGGGCATGCCAGGGAAATCGAGCCATAATTGGGTTTCCAACAACCTAGAAAGCATGACATTCGATTCTGTTCTTTCGCTCCCGTTTTCCTTGCTTCCTGTCAAGAACAATGGCTCACAGAATTATTTCATACTTCCCTCATCGCCAGGTATGACTACCTTCTCGCTCGACTCACCCGCGGGGGGCACAATGTGCTCTACATGGGAGACACCGGGGTCGGGAAGAGCGTCGTTATGGAGAAGTATCTGGAGAAGGCCTCAAACACGGATGACTTTGTAGCCTACACCATGAAATACTCGGCTCAGACCAAACCAACCAATCTCAAGGACATGTTCGAGACCAAGCTCGAGAAGAAGCGCAAGACTCTGTTCGGCCCCCCATCCGGCAAGAAAATGCTCTTCTTCATCGACGACCTCAACATGCCCGCGCTTGAGGTTTGTTGTTGTTGTTGTTGTTGTTGTTGTTGTTGTTGTTGTTGTTGTTGTTGTTGTTGTTGTTGTTGTTGTTGTTGTTGTTGCTCCTGCTGATGATGATGATGTTTGTTGGCAATATATTGCTGATCATCCGGTTCATTGCTTTGCGCCTGGTGTGTACCAACACCGCCGGTGCGTCGCTTAGAACAAATATCGTACACAATTTACCTCCACAGCACAGCATTGAGCTGAAACTGAAGCTGAGTGCTTTTCTGTCGACTTGGTCGCATGCTTCAGGTCTACGGGGCTCAACCCCCCAACGAGCTCCTCCGGCAGGCGATAGACTCCGGCGGGTTCTACGACACCCAAAAACTGTTCTTCAAAGGCATCAAGGACGTTGTTTTCCTGGCGGCGTGCGCCCCCCCGGGCGGCGGGCGGAACCAAGTCTCCCCGCGGCTACTTCGGCACTTTTCCATGGTCTGGTTGACGGCTCTGTCCTCGGGTTCCCTTAACCGGATTTTCCAGGCTATTCTGGGGGGCTTCCTCCAGGCGATTGTGCCCCCCCTGAAGGATCTTACGGAGCCCCTGGTGGCGGCATCGGTGAAGATTTACGAGCGCATCGCAAGCGAGCTGCTTCCGACCCCGGCGAAGAGCCACTACACGTTCAACCTTCGAGACCTTTCGAAGGTATTGGAGAAATCCACTTTCGCGCGCAACATGCAAATGCGACATTGTCGGAGTCGATTTGATCGGATCCGGAATCCTATGCTGGCGTTTGGATGTTGTTGCTCGACCTTCGAGTGCTGTTGAACCAACGTTACGTTTTGGATTTGTTGGGTGGCAAGCGGCATGCAATTATCTGTTTTGAGAGCTCACGCCGTACTTCCATAGCCAATCATTTCCGACGTGCGACATGTTCATGTTCTCTTCGATTCTTCACCAGGAGCTCAAAATAAGTCCGTTTGTGTTCAACGCGCCACACGTTTCCTGGGTCCTTTCGTTCTTGCGTTCGTCCAAGGTTTTCCAAGGCTTGCTAATGGTGAAGGCGGAACACGCCGACACAAAGGACAAGTTCCTGCGGCTGTGGTGCCACGAAGAGAGTCGCGTCTTCAGGGATAGGCTAATTTCCGCTGAAGATCGGACGTGGTTCAACGGCGCCCTTCAGGTACCTTTCTCGGCCGCTGTGGTATCATTAATGGTAGGAACACCGACGGATGAGCCAACATGCTTTCGCCAGGTATCTTCATTCTGAACAATAGCAAGGGATGGTGGTTCAGACCTTCTCTACAAAGGGGCATACGTACATTTGTTTGTGTTCTGGAAAGGGAACCGTGTGAACGAGTTGGTGGAATCTACACCCTGAAAGTGAAAATCTGATACTCACATCCAGGTATGCATAGTATTGTCAGCGTTCACTGCTCGAGTCATTTTTTGACGATTAAGGGTATGACACGCGGTCGCTCCTCATTTCCTGCGAATCATGAGTTGACGTCTAGGGGGCTCGGGTTGGCCTTTCTTTCTGGAATGTTTTTCGTGATGCCCTTCTCAACACTTCGCACATTTACTGTAGGGTGGTTTGATTGAAGCAACTGTTAGGGGTTGGTATCAGAACCCGCTCCCTGTGGGTCGCTCTCTTCTTCGCACTTTGGTAATTCGACGGAAACATGCCGGATGCTAGCGACTGCTTCCTTTGTTTTGAAATCCTGCTTCAGCGCTGGGTTGCTCGCTAGTTCATGTCCCGTATCCTTCAGGTCGATTGTGCTCTGTCTCCGTTAGTTTCCGAGTAATTCGTCCGAGGGGCTTCTCCGCCTTACCTCTTGGTCTGCCTGTGGTTCATGGATGTTTTTTGCTGTGCGTTCAGAGCGTTCTACTGGAATTCTTGGACGTGGACTGGAAGCCAGACATGTTCGCTGAGCTGCTTTTCGGGGACTACCTCAACCGCGAGGACAAGGTCAGGCATCTAAAATAGCCAATATTGATGCGGTTACGAAGCAAATGCCTTGTCGTGCCGTGTAGATTAGTATTCCTAGTTTCTATTTTCTTGAGTGATTTCTTCTCTGATCGAGGAAACGTACGCAACAGGCTACACAAGCGGAACCTCGAAGGCATCCGTTGCTGTTGGCGTCTCTACTGGGCCTTGGTTGACGCGATTCGCGCGCTACAGCGTGTTATTTCTTGGCCTGTTGAAGCACGGCACATTATTGATATGGTAGAATGACCTAAATGGCGGGCGTGCATCGGTCAAATGCAACCGTTTTCGCTTGTGTTCGTTGAAACACATGGAACGAGGTGTGCCCAGCAGACAAAACGATTGAGGAAACGCAGTGTCTCCAGGGGCATTAAACTCCCTTGGTCTCCGGCCTCTCAATTTCACTTTCTCGTGCTTCCTATCAGCAGCAAACTAACGTGAGAATTATGTTCCTATCAACAACGAACTAACGCGAAGAACGGATGTTCCAGTGGCAGGTGGACACATTGAGTAAGGAGCAGTCAAACCGTATCGCCCAAATTCCCATCTCAATCAATGGAAACCAACCGCATTGTGAGCAACGTTTACTTCTCAACGCCAAACGAAAGACAAATCAATGACTCGACAACGTTGCATGAACAAACACAATGCGTTGACTTAGGCGTATCGACCAGTGGAAGACCGTGCGCAGCTGGGAGAGGCCCTTCTGGAGTACCTCGAAGAGTACAACGTTGAGTTCCCCAGTCAGATGCACCTCGTCTTCTTCGCCGATGCTGTGGCACACGTTAGGTAACACTATTAGAATGTTTTGTTCGACACGAGGAGGCTTGGAATCAAGATTGTTGAGTTCCAATACATCATTCCTAGAGGGTAAGTGTATGCAAATGATAACGTCAGCTTTTTGCACGTGCGTGTGTACACGATCTGGAAATGGCTTCAGTGTGAACACCCGTACCTTACGCGAAGCCCCTCATCGTGGTCAACCGTCGAGCGTACACTGCACTAACGTCGATAGCCCCGTTTATCGAAACTGAGCGTCGTTGATGTAGCTGCTGCTTCGGTATAGGTTCCCTTTATCGGTACCCGTATATCGTATTCATGCCGCCCCCTTTGGTGGCACGGTGTTTATTTGTGCACCACCATCGACAAAGCCATGCGATGCTTGAATCAGTGAAAAAATCTACGAAAATTGCATTATAAGAAGAATGAAAACCTTCGCCCCCTTCATATCATCAACCGCACGTGCTGTGCCATGTGGTCTGGCAGAGAGAGGAAATTCCCACGTCCTCTCGTATCGCCAGGGGTGATGGGCCACACGCACTATCATTTCGTATAGAGTTCCCACCAGACTCCTTATCCCATGGGATACTGTAGCCATCATCTGTACCCATCATGTGTCTCCCCAATGCACCCCCCGCACCGGTGTACGAACGTTTTAGCCGAATCTGCCGCGTCCTCCGGCAACCGAGAGGCAACGCGCTTCTCGTCGGGGTCGGCGGGTCCGGTAGGCAGTCCCTCACGCGCCTCTCAGCGTTCATCGCGGGTTACAAGTGCGTCAGCATTGAGATCACCCGGGGTTACGGCAGCTCGGAATTCCACGACGACCTAAAGGCGGTTCTGATGACGGCTGGGGCGGAGAATGTTCCCACCGTGTTCCTTTTCAGCGACAGTCAGATCGTGGAGGAGTCCTTCCTTGAGGACTTGAACAATGTGCTCGGCTCGGGCGAGGTAAGAGGTGGATGTGGCATGTTTGCCAATGCTTGTCTTGTTCTCAGCATGACCAAGCCCATTGCATTGGTTTTCTTGAAAGTTCGCACATATGGTTCTGCAAGCCATGGACGGCGGGCTTGGTCCGAGCTAGTCTACGTATGTGGGCAGTGTTGTGGCACGGACCCGGGACACAAGAAAAACAGTCAGAGAGGAGGACAGACCGTATGGTATCAGGCACTGCTTCCAGCCCCCACCCCCCCCCCTCGAAGGAAAAGGGCATCACAGACTTGGCAAATGCGCACATTTCAGGTTCCAAACCTTTACGCCGCCGACGAGATGGAGAAGATCGTTAGCCTTGTACGACCGCTGGCTAAGGCCGCGGGGAAGCTCGAAACGAGGGATGCCATCCTGCAGCACTATGTGCAGCTGGTCCGGGAGAACCTTCACGTGTGCCTGTGCATGAGCCCGATCGGCGCGGGATTCCGAAATCGCTGCCGCATGTTCCCGGCCCTGGTGAACTGCTGCACCGTGGATTGGTTCAACGTGAGACGGCCTTTAGATTTCCTGGTCCAGTGCATGGATTGCCTTCGGTAGAGCCGCTCTGGCTGAGCTCGTTGTGTTGCGCGAGGATATTTTTTTTGTTTGATGTTTTCTTCGCAAAGCATATTGGCGGAGGGGGGAGAGTGTCGAGTGACGTGTCTGTGGATACATTGAACGCCGGGTGATCCATTTCCGAGCTGAACACTACCGTTGTCGAGTGCTTTGTTGCTCGAATGATTGATCTTGATTGCATACAGTTCCCCACACGTTGGTCGTTCTCCGCTGGCTAAAGAGATTTATCTATCCCACCTTTGAAGTTCTGAGCACCTTGGTCCCAGATCGTGAAAGAAGCTTGGACCCGAAGCGGCTACGTCAAGCAGTGCGTTACTGTCTTCAATTGCGCATATCTGGAAGAGCTTCCATGTTTTGTTGGAGAAGCTTTGTTTTCCCGTGCAAGCATTGCGGGCTATGCTTCGACTTGAATGCTTCAAAGGTCGTGCGGCGTCCCGAAAGTACCGAACCTACGACGGGATTCTCATATGTTGTTGAGTATCATGGAATTTCCGTAACTGTTTGATCCTCCGTACATTTCGCGCCCGTGGGTTAGTAATGGCTGACTGGCCGACAACACTCCAGAATACTTGGCCCTGAGGAAATTTACAAGCGAAGGTATATGTAGCGTTTCAACTACGTCATGGTTCGCGACTCTTCCATCAGTTGACAGAGCCCCACGCGAAAAATTTACTTTCGCTCTTTTCCCACAACATGTGTATCTCACTTGCCCCCTTCAAACGTTCTGAACTAGGATTGCCAACCAGACCCTGACGCATCCTTACCACCAGACCATGGAGTACCATCCGTTTCCTGATTCGCTGCCCTGGTCGCAGATCAAGATCAAAACGTCCATCCTCTTGATTTGGGAATTAAATAACATTCCCCCCGACTGCAGGCTTGGCCGGAAGAGGCCTTGGCGTCCGTGGCCGAGTACTTCCTGTCGGGTCGATCAGGACTGGGTATAGAGCCCTTCGTCGCCCCTCTCGGTGCCATGGCGGTGGGGATTCACCGGGCCGTGGAGAGAGAAACCGCCAGGTTCGGGGAAGAAATCGTACATCGCACTCGTGGTCCAGGCTTACGTTGCAGCTGAACTACGCTACAAGCAGCCTAACCCTAGAGTTGAACCGCAAGATATTCATGCGGGCAAGCATCCAGCTCAAATGGAAGCGCTCTCGGCGTTCTTGCGCGTAAGGCTGGAAACATGTAGAAGAACGCACGTTCGAAGACGTTGAAGTAGCGAATCGATCAAGCAGCCCTTCGTTGGGCTTCCTCTCGCATCCGTGCGCCTGCTCAACTGTCAGTTTGTCAAATCGTTATATAAACCAACAAGAGTACGTTCCGATCACGCCACCATATCTATCCCCGGAACATAGTACAAAACAAAATGCCGTTGAAACCATCACTACCCTTCACAAATGACAACAACAACAAAGATCACCAGCACCACCAAGCATGCTAATCCTAGTAAAAAATACAACAACGCAACAGGTTCGAAAGGGAGCTGGGTCGAAAGACCTACACCACCCCTACGTCGTACCTGGAGCTTATCAAGCTGTACCTTGAAATGCTGGAGACCCAGCGGGAGTCTGTGAGCACCAACGAGAGCCGGTACCGTAACGGTCTCCACAAGCTGGAGGAAACAAAGGAGATGGTCAACGAACTTCAGGTATGATGCTCTGTTTTTGTCAGGCGCGCCGTTAGCTGTCACCCCATGCCACGGTATGACACGTTCGTCGCAGGCGAACTGTGGTTCAATCGCGTGTCTTCGTAAGCTCTTTGTTGCACGTCTGCCATCGACAGATCAAGAGGGTACAAACGAGCTCAGTCGGATGTGCCTTTACCCCGATTCTGACCAACGGCTGAGATCAGATGCAGGGAGTATCGTCCACTATTATAGCTTCACGTAATCACATTTGTTTTTGGGACTAAGACGTTCCCAAGATGTTATTGACAAACACATTACAACCAATGAAAACCGAGCGAATCGAAGCAGAAGGTGGCTACTTCGAAAAGAAAGCAAGCATGAAAACATCTCCGAAAGTGGTGGTTCCGTTACCTCCGTCAAAAGCTTGACACCCCCCAACTTGAACGTGGCACGTACCCATGATTTACTTTTCCCCACATTGCGTAGTCCAGCATGTTAGCGAAAGTCACATTCGTACATCTCCCGGTAATCGCGAAAACGTCCGAAAGGGGACTCTTACGGAGATGCAGCCTCAGCTGGCCCAGGCCGCCATCGACACCGAGATCCTAATCAAGAAGGTCACGGCCGACCAACTGGCGGCGGACGAGCAGCAGGCCATCGTCGAGAAGGACGTCGAGGAGGCAAACAAGGTCGCCGCAAACGTGCAGGTCATCAAGGACGACTGCCAGAAGGTACGCCGCTTGACATTGACCGTCGGGTTTTTCTGTCTGGAGTGACCGGACTCTCTCTCCGACGTACTGCGGATGACTGTCAGCGGCGCGAGTCACGGAAAAGGGCGTTTAAAGTACAAGAATAGAGCCATTTGAAGCGCGCAGCGTACCGAGGACAGCTACCGAAGGCCACTTACGCACGCTACTGGCGTACAAAGTGGATTCCTTTTCGCACGACGACAAACTCATGTGCTGTTCGAGTTGCACAGCCCAATCTCCCAATGAATTTTGTTCGTTAAGCCTCTTCAGCGTTTGGCCTGCATTTAAATCGTTTGCGAGTAGCTCTCACACGCGTATTTACAGCACACACGCTTGTGTTTCCGTACAAAATCCAGGACCTGGACGAGGCGATGCCTGCGTATTACGCGGCAATCAAGGCCCTCGACTCGCTGGACAAGAAGAGTATCCAGGAGATGAAGAGCTTCACCAACCCTCCTCAGGTGATCGAAGGACCTACATAAATATGCTTCGATATCACCCGAAGGTTGGGCGTGCGAAAGGGAAAGAGATAATTGCTGGTAAGAACCGTAGCCACAAGCTCATTTCGAAATTGTCGCCACCGTTACCAAACACAAACATTACTGATACACGACTGACGCCGTGAACATGTTCGGCCGACCAACCCTGTTGCGTTCGGGACTCTGCTGTTGCTATTCGGCTCCAGATGGTTGCCTACACGATGGAATCAGTGTGCATCCTTTTCGGCAGCAAGCCCAACTGGAAGGAGTCGAAGAACCTCATGTCCAAGATGACCTTCATGGACGAGCTCAAGGGCTTCGACAAGGACAACATCCCCCCGAAGGTTATCCGGGCCCTCAAAACCTACATCGAGAACCCCGGATTCCTGCCAGAGGAGGTTGCCAAGGTACGCGTATTTGATGTTGTCGTGGCAAGAAACGCGGGTGGACTTGCAGTCACAAGACATGAAGCGTTCGACCAATAACTATTGTGTAATGCACATTGTTACGCTCAGAAGAATCAACTAGGTTCCTTCCATCCAAACTGCAATAACAGTACATATCTCCGTTTGTTTTAAATTTCGGACCGTGTTGTTTCCATCACCAACAACAACACTATTAACAATAAACAGGTCTCTTCGGCCGCCAAGAGCCTCTGCATGTGGGCCCGGGCGATGTACACGTACGACAAGGTGGCCAAGAATATCGGACCCAAGAAGGAGGCGCTCGCTCAGGCGGAGGGTGAGCTGACTGTTGTCCAGAGCGAGCTCGGGAAGAAGCAGGAGGCGCTCAGAAAGGTGCGGATAGGAGAGCGGCATAGGGAAGAAGGCTCTTTGATAGACAGCGACAAACTTACGACAGAAATGGCTAGAGAGTTGGGAACAGCACAAGACTCTCTGAACGGCAGCAAGGGCGGGGGGGAGGGGGTGGCGGTGCAACAAGATATTTTGTTTCTCAGTGCTCATGCATGATCCATTCATCTGGCTGATCGCGTGTGCAAGTTTCGGCGATGTAACCGGTTATTTGGGTTTGACCGAAGACCAATCAGCGCCACACTCAGGTCGCGAGAAGTTCGAAGCTAGTTTCGAGTGCGTCCGGTTCAAATATGAACGTGCTCCTGGTTCACACATACGTGTTCTGCTTGCTCGTCTGACACGCTCATTGTAATCTAACCGGGCACGAAAAGCTGAGGAGGAGGACACACTTACCTCCATTTCAACGTGTGTCACGTAATCCTTGTCTTTGTTCTCGTTTTTTACCTTTTTCGTGTCGAATACTATTCTATTTCAATTGCAATACTTCTGTCCATGTTTCCTTGTTCATATATCTATTGCGCTATCCTCCAATATGTTTGATCGGCTTATTCTCGATGTGCTCGATGTGCACTCGTGGCTGACTCCTTGATCCTCAAGGCATCAAACGATTGGTCCTTTTCCCGTTTTTCTTCAAACTAGATCCTCGCGGACGTCGCAGAGTTGAAGGCCACCCTCGCCTCCACCGAGAGAAAAAAAGCCGAGCTAGAGGGACAGGCCCTCAAGACCACGGACCAGCTCAAGCGGGCGGAGCAGCTCATCGGAGGCCTGGGGGACGAGAGAGAGCGGTGGCAGGAGTCAGCCGACCGCCTGTCGAAGGATATTAAGAACCTCGTCGGCAACGTCATGCTCGCCTCAGGTTGCCTCGCCTACCTCGGTCCCTTCACCAGGTCAGGAATTTTCAGGCCGAGGAAAGCTTAAATATTCACCCCACTTTCTACCCAGGGCATGGTGCAGGGTGTGTTGAAAGTCCGATTGCTTTTCTCTTCTTGCTGTCCTTCTCATCTCACCACGTCCCCCACCATACCTGTGCTACACAAACACAATGGTCGGTTGTGCTCCACCAACAGCCAATTCCGGAAGGACATGGCGTCCGGTTGGGTGAAGCTCTGCAAGGAGCGATCCATCCCTGTTGCCGACGACTTTTCCCTGGAAGGCGTTCTCGCGGAGCCGGTAACGGTAAGGCAGTGGCAGCTCATGGGCCTCCCCGCCGACGAGTTTTCGACAGAGAATGGGATGCTGACCACGATGGGACGACGTTGGCCGTTGATGATTGACCCCCAGGGGCAGGCGAACCGTTGGATTCGCAGCATGTACGCCGACGCCAATCTCCAGGTGATGCGAGGGTTGCCGTGTGTTGGTGAAAAGATCGACCTCGTCGTTGTAGATACGTGGGGGTAGTACAGCGTTGAGTGTTGATGTTGCTATTGCGGCTGATTCGTGCCCGCTTCTATATAAATTGTTTGTTTTTCGTTTGTTCGTTTGCGCCTACCCTCGGCTCTCTTTTCTTCGCCAACTTTCACATACGGTCCATGGGGCGTAGAACCGGCCGGATGGGGATCACAGAACGGTTAGGACTTCTCGCCCCAGAGGTCCCGCCGCACAGCTCTTCCGCCAAGTGTTCAGATCATTGTCGATCAGCAATACTTTCCTTCGGGGGACCATGTCCACCGCTATCTACGAGTCAGCCCCAGAAACACGCAACAACAGCCCCATGACAACGCCTGTAGCAAGAGCCTAACCTGAAGGCCATGAGGTATCTACCTCGCCCTGCTTTTCCTTTATGCCCGATAGGTAATCAAACTCACTGAGAAGGCTTTCCTTCGTACCCTCGAAAACGGAATCCGATACGGGGCCCCCGTTCTGCTGGAGAACGTGAAGGAAGAACTGGACCCTGGGCTGGAGCCCGTGTTGCTCAAACAGGTTGGTGTTATAAACGCCGTCTTCGGGGTCTAAACGTTGCCTCACACGATGACCAAATCCTCCGTTGTAACTGCAATAGCTCATTCTCAAGCACATCGGTGTTCGAGAGAGGCGGGCGGCTAATGCGGAGGCTTGCGGGAGTTTCGTGCAGTGAAAAAAAAAACGTAACCAATTCGTTGTCGACCCCTTCTTCGGTTGTTACAGGTGTTCAAGAGAGGTGGGCAGGTACTGCTGCGGCTGGGGGACACGGACGTGCCCTACAGCGACGAGTTTAGATTCTTCGTGACGACAAAGCTGGCCAACCCGCACTACATGCCCGAAATTTGTATCAAGGTTTGTTGTGGGTGTTTTCGTCGTTGGGGCGGCTCGGCCTGATGCTGTAGGTCTGTACTGCAGTGTTAGGTCGATTTTTGTTGAAATGAGTGAATGTCTTTTTCTGGTGACCGCTGTTGTCGGCTTACCAACTGCGCTGAGGATAGTGCTATTGACTCATTTTCCTGTAAATGGTTGTGGCACTGAGTGTCGCACCCTTGCCTTTTTCAAAATATTCTTCGACGCATGCTCGATACCCACCGAACGCGCACAGCGGCGATTCCGTCTTTCACACCGAGCCTACACAACGAACTGCGGAGCAGAACACGAACGAACGTGTTCAGTCACGGTGAGGTGGTGAAACTACCTAAGCTTCTGCTCCTCCCCAAACTTGACCTCAACCGTCACCTCCAACGAAGGTGACGATCATCAATTTTACGGTAACAATGACGGGCCTAGAAGATCAGCTGCTTGTGGACGTGGTAAAAAACGAGCGACCCGACCTGGAGGCCAAGAAGGACGAACTGGTACGGACTGGACAGTACCATAATACCCACTCTTCAATGTATCCATCAATTCGAATCGATCTTGATGCAAGCCACGCTTCTGTTTTCTATGGACTTGTCCTCACAATGCTGTGGTACAATACAAATCTTGCTGCATGTAGCATAGGGAAGGTATTGGTGAGCCCAGAGCAGCGAGTGAGACATACAATGAAGCCGCAGTCGGATCCTATTGGGATCTATAGTGTACGCCGAATAACGCGCACGTCGTCACTAGTGGCCGCAGCGGGCCAACTCCAACATATCCGCCGATCTTGCACATACCGGAAGGGGCGATACCGAATATTGCGATTTGCAACAAGGTAAGATAGGGATCAACCATTGCCGTATATCTGATGGTATGCTTTTTGCGAATATCTCTTCATTACCGTGAGCGGTCGACAGGCGGCATAAATTCTGGCGGCTGACATTCTGGTTCATGATATCCGAAAAACACTGTTTCGGTGCTCGCGTGCGCTATGATTGATTCTTGTTTTGAATCGCAGGTGGTGAACATCGCCAACGACCAGAGGACTTTAAAGGAGATCGAGAACAAGATTCTCTACATGCTCGTCAATGCCTCAGGTACGCGGAAACCGTTGAAGAACCTAAGCAACTAGCCATGGGTACAGAGTAACTTAATTTTCTCGTAGTCACGACAGCAGGTGGGCGCAATCGATTGTGAAGGATACGGACGCATGATCACCAAGCTTCCAGCATGTGCATGCCCTGAAGGAATCAATGACTATGCGTGTGAGAATAACCACATATTCGAAGCACTGCGTTCTCTCCCAATATTAACCCTTTGCCTCTTCAGCAACGTTAACACTTGACAAACATCAAGTATCCCACGGACAATGTACAATACCCAACGTGTCCCCCAGGAAACATCCTGGACGACGAAGACCTGATTGACGCGCTGTCCCAGTCGAAGGTGACCTCCAAGGCCATCAACGAGCGCCTTACGGAGGCGGAGCACACGACCAAGGAGATCAACGACACGCGCGAGGACTACAGGGTTGTCGCGACGCGGGGCTCCATCATCTACTTTGTCATCGCGGGTCTGAGCAACGTGGATCCCATGTATCAGTACAGGTGGGTGAGTGATAACTTATGTCTGGGCAACTGAAGGACATACATACTCCATTGATATCACTTATACACCTCACTTCAACTGCCAATGATACTCCTCCCATTGATAAGCCATTCCAATTTCTTGGGAGAGGAAGCGCAAAATGCCAGGTTGTGCTTGACTGCCTGACCTAGGCGTTTGCCTATCCTTGTGCGCGCATCATCACGTTCAAAAGACTCTCCGCAACGACTTAGTAACCATTGGCGGAGGGTTTCGTAGTACCATCACGTCCACAACCGAGACGGCCCGAAACAACGGCATGTTTCTAGAGAACACGTTGAGCGTTTTGTTGACTTGCCAAGCAGAGTCTACCGTTCTCCTCTGTGGAACAAGTTGCTCGAGTGCTTCAAGGACACTCTCCCATTGATTCGTCCTTGGGTGCAAATATCAATGATTCGTTGTTATAATGACGCCTCCCCGTAGCACACGGGGGCGCTTGTTCTTGATGCAGAAATGTGTTTTCAAAGCAGCCAATACACAGCCAATCTCTTCAAGAATAGGCTAAGACAAATGAAAATGAACAGGCCTTGCCAAAGTATTCAAGGATAAGTTCGGCTGGTCAAGTTTTATCACACCCAACGTGTCCCGCATTTTGCATAACACACGAAGGACAGCTGGATCCTCCTCGCGTGGAAAAATTAATGGCAATCCTATTTGCTCCACCGGTGGAGTAACTTCTTGTTTGTTCCACCAGGCAGATCTCCACCCACAGACCTCCAATCGGCCTCAAACCAGTTGCACCGTGTAGGTATGGACTACAGCTATCTGCAATGCTACATAGAATCTAAGTCTGACGCGTGGCTCTAGAGATATTCTCGAAAAGGAGGTTCCGTAGCATGTCAGGAAGCAGTAATCGTCTCGAACCTCCGTCCACACTGCTTCAATTGACCTCAAATCTTTTGCGTCGTGTCTGCTCGGTCCATGCCGTTCTTCCGAGCTATCTGACACTCACATCCGATATCTTCTCGCAGAGAACCATGCCTAACTCGGCCCGCATCGTGTTGGCACGTCCCACAACTATCATTCAAGCCATCCTCCACCCCAATCGGACCAGCGGGCGCAGAGAAACGCCCACGCACGGGGGCTCAGTGGCTCAACGGCCGGTGGAGCAGATAAGCGGCCGGTGGAGCAGATAAGCTCAACTGCTCCACCGGGCCAAACTCTATGTAACGGGTGCTGTGTGCGCTACCAAGGCATGCATTGTATTGGCCCGGCTCACAGCTGTCATAGACGCTATCGGACACCCCAATCGGACCAGTGGGTGTAGAGAAACACCCACCCACGGGAGCTCGGTGGCCCAAGGGCCGGTGGAGCAGCGTACTGCTCCACCAGGCCAAACTCTATGTAAAGGGTGCTGTGTGCCCTACTAACGCTTGCATTGTGTCGGCCGGGACCACTACTATCACAGACGCCGTCGGACACCCCGATCAGACCAGTGGGTGCGGAGAAACACCCGCCGATGGGGGCTCAGGGACTTAACGGCCGGTGGAGCAGATAAGCTTAACTGCTCCACCAGGCCACACTCTATGTACCGGGCGCTGTTTGTCTTACGACGCCATCGGACACCCCGATCGAACCTGTGGGGGCAGAGAAACACCCATTGACGGGGGCTCAGGGACCCAAGCGCCGGTGGAGCAGGTAAGCTTAACTGCTCCACCAGGCCGAACTCTATCTTACTGGCGCTGTTGGTCTTACGAAGACTGTCATTGTGTTGGCACGTCCCACAACTATCATACAAGCCATGGGGTACCCCAATCGGACCAGTGGGTGCAGAGAAACGCCAACCCACGGGGGCTCAGCGGCTCAAGGGCCGGTGGAGCTTGTCTGCTCCACCACGCCAAACTCTATCTAGCGGGTGCTGTGTGGCAGGATAGGGGCACCCCCTGGATAAGGGAAATTTTCTCAAACGGGCTCTCCTCCGGGCCAACAGGCACTCCTCCCCACCCCCCCGACTAACGGGCACCCCTCCCCCAGAACGCCCCCCCCCTTGTGGTTTGGGGCAGCATTACCCCTCAAATAACGGCACTCCCCGTCAACAACGGCCACCCCACCTTCATCGTCAGTACTCCTCTCTGCTCACGGACACCTCTTTGGCGACGTGTTCGGACGGTGTACGTGCTCTGTATGTAGATTACATTGTATTATATGGACACATCCACTGTACTCGCTGATCACATACACTGTATTGTTGATCTGGTCCACTAAACACTGTTTTCCCTCATCAGATACACCGTATTCCCTCGCTCGTTTCACTGCATTCCATCATCAAGTAGAAATACATTGTATTCCCTGTTCAGGTACACTGTATTCCCTGAGCGGATTCACTGTATTCGCTCATCAGATACAATGTTTCCCTCGTCACATTGACTGTATTTTATGTTTATTCATCATAATCGCAGCATTCCCTCGTCAGATACACTTTTTCCCTCGCCGATACACTGTATTCCCTGATCAGATACGCTGTACTCCCAGAGGAGATACACGTTCTTCCTTCCTTCAGAGATCTGTGTTCCCACAGCAGATTCATCGTATTCCCTAATCAGATACACTGTATGCCCTCGTCAGAGTCACTGCATTCGACGGAGTGCAGCACATCTGATGAGAGATCCAGTGACTCTGACAATGGAATACAGTAAAAATACAAGGGATAATGTACTATATTTGAAGAGGGAATACGGGAATCCTGATCAGGGAATACAGAGTATTCGATGGGGGATTCGAGTGAAACGGACGTGTAAATAGGGTGTATCTGACGAGGGAAAGCAGTGAATCCGCTCAGGGAATATAGAGAAAAGTACAAAGACGCGATGTATCTGATGAGCGAATACAGTGTACCTGAACAGGAAATACAATGTATTTCTACTTGATGATGGAATGCAGTGAAACGAGCGAGGGAATACGGTGTATCTGATGAGGGAAAACAGTGTTTAGTGGACCAGATCAACAATACAGTGTATGTGATCAGCGAATACAGTGGATATGTCCAGATAATACAATGTAATCTACATACAGAGCACTTACACCGTCCGAACACGGCGCCAAAGAGGTGTCCGTGAGCAGAGAGGAGTACTGTAGATGAAGGTGGGGTGGCCGTTGTTGACGGGGAGTGAGGGGTATGCTGCCCCAAACCACAAGGGGGGGGGCGTTCTGGGGGAGGGGTGCCCGTTAGTCGGGGGGGTGGGGAGGAGTGCCTGTTGGCCCGGAGGAGAGCCCGTTTGAGAAAATTTCCCTTATCCAGGGGGTGCCCCTATCCTGCCACACAGCACCCGCTAGATAGAGTTTGGCGTGGTGGAGCAGACAAGCTCCACCGGCCCTTGAGCCGCTGAGCTCCCGTGGGTTGGCGTTTCTCTGCACCCACTGGTCCGATTGGGGTGCCCAATGGCTTGTATGATGGTTGTGGGACGTGCCGACACAATGAAAGTCTTCGTAAGACCAACAGCGCCAGTAAGATAGAGTTCGGCCTGGTGGAGCAATTAAGCTTACCTGCTCCACTGGCGCTTGGGTCCCTGAGCCCCCGTCAATGGGTGTTTCTCTGCCCCCACAGGTTCGATCGGGGTGTCCGATGGCGTCGTAAGACAAACAGCGCCCGGTACATAGAGTGTGGCCTGGTGGAGCAGTTAAGCTTATCTGCTCCACCGGCCGTTAAGTCCCTGAGCCCCCATCGGCGGGTGTTTCTCCGCACCCACTGGTCTGATCGGGGTGTCCGACGGCGTCTATGATAGTGGTCCCGGCCGACACAATGCAAGCGTTAGTAGGGCACACAGCACCCTTTACATAGAGTTTGGCCTGGTGGAGCAGTACGCTGCTCCACCGGCCCTTGGGCCACCGAGCTCCCGTGGGTGGGTGTTTCTCTACACCCACTGGTCCGATTGGGGTGTCCGATAGCGTCTATGACAGCTGTGAGCCGGGCCAATACAATGCATGCCTTGGTGGCGCACACAGCACCCTTTACATAGAGTTTGGCCCGGTGGAGCAGTTAAGCTTATCTGCTCCACCGGCCGCTTATCTGCTCCACCGGCCGTTGAGCCACTGAGCCTCCGTGCGTGGGCGTTTCTCTGCACCCGCTGGTCCGATTGGGGTGGAGGATAGGGTTAGATGGCTTGAATGATAGTTGTGGGACGTGCCAACACGATGCGGGCCGAGTTAGGCGTGGTTCTCTGCGAGAAGATATCGGATGTGAGTGTCAGATAGCTCGGAAGAACGGCATGGACCGAGCAGACACGACGCAAAAGGTTTGAGGTCAATTGAAGTAGTGTGGACAGAGGTTCGAGACGATTACTGCTTCCTGACATGCTGAGGAACCTCCTTTTTTAAGAATATCTCTAGAGCCACGCGTCAGACTTAGATTCTAAGTAGCATTGCAGATAGCTGTAGTCCATACCTACACGGTGCAACTGGTTTGAGGCCGATTGGAGGTCTGTGGGTGGAGATCTGCCTGGTGGAACAAACAAGAAGTTACTCCACCGGTGGAGAAAATGGTATTGCCGAACACTTAAGTCATGCGCCTCGGAGGGGTCTCCTGTGTTCCTGACCAGAGCTCGTCAGAGAGGAAAAGTCGTGAAGTACGTGGAACCTGTGAGCGATGTGTGCGACAAATTGACGACGAAAACAACGAAAACGAACATTCTAGAATACCATCCTGAGAAAAATATGTGTCTTCTGTCCTTGCGTTCACAGCCTCAAGTTCTACAAAGACTTGTTCTCGCAGCGCCTGCAGAAGGCCGAGAAGAACGACGAGGTGTCCGCGAGGCTCCGAATCCTCATCGACGACGTGAGCTTCAACATGTTCACCAACATCTGCCGCGGCCTATTCGAGAAGGACAAGATGATATACGCCTTCATGATCGCCGTGGGAATCCTACGACAGGCCGGAAAAGTGTCCGACCACGAGTGGCGGACGCTGCTTGTCGGCGCGGTCGTCATGGAAGCAGATGCAGGTGGGTAACAAAATATTGTGTTGTGAGGCGGTTCGTCCTGGTCACACTGCTACCCAGAATGACATTGAGGTTCGGCAGGCAGGATATTGGTTCCAGTGGGAAGACCGTACAAGTTGCCCCTTGCAACAATCCCAAGAAACCTTGATCATTCGCAAGAAGGTAGAAAGAGAGCTTGCGCGAGGGAATCACTCGTGGTGCCGCCCTTTTCTGACTTTTCAGTATTAGATGTGCTTAGTGTGCCACACGAGCACCACCTTTATTCGGTTGCCCTCTAAGTTTCCACATGCACAAGACAACATTTCGCAGCTACTGCATTTGTTGTTGATGCGTGCCGTTCCACATCTAACGACGCCTTGCGGGCTATTTCTAGGGGGGGGCGCGGCGAGACAGAAACCGTCGAGCCTTTCGTGGATGTCGGCGAAGGCATGGGATCAACTGCTGGCATACGAAACCACCCTGGGGCCTGCGTTCCGGGGCTTGCCGGCGGCGATAGAGTCCGCGCCGGGTGACTGGAAGGTATGAGATTCCATTCGTCCAGACGATACAAAAATCAAGCGGGTGTAGCGGCTTTCGGCAACCAGCCTTCAGGTGACCACCAAGTAATGTTGCCCGGTCTCTTGGCAGCAGTACTCGTGCGTGAATCTTCAGCTTCAGCGTACTTCAGAGACGATTTTTTTCTCCCTGCGCTTCATGTTGCCGTACCCATCTCCTTGCTTTTTTGGGGTCCGTTGAACTCAATTCAACCGTGGCTCTTTCGAGCCCCTCCCCCGTTCCCCTACAGCATACCGCGCATGCCCGCAACCGGCTTCATCTGTTTACTGTCGTCGGTTGAAATCTCCTCCTTTTCATGACCTCGCACCCCTCATGTTTGCCTTCGAAGCGGAAGTCGAACAAACTTGAAGTTCATTACTCGACCTCCACCAACCGTCTATTCGCGCAACGAGAGAAAATAGTTAACTTGTTGCGTGGTTTGCTGTATATCTTGGACTCAAGGCTAAGTACTTCGAGTCTGACGCGCCTCACCTGGAGGAACCCCCAGGGGAGTGGGGAGGAGAAGGACGCCTCTCGGAGTTCCAGAAACTATTGCTGCTGCGGGCAATACGCGAAGAGAAGACCGTCTTCGCGATGAGGGTTTTCGTACAGGCAAGGGTTGGCTGGTGTGCGGTTTGAGCAGGGTATCGCCACCTGGTCCATCCCTAGAAAGAGTTTGGTGCTCCGGAGCAGAGTCTAATCATAGATTTTGCCCGATTCATTGTGCGGAGAACGTTGGTTCTCAAGCTCTCACCTTTACAAACTTTAGCCTTCGGTGTCGATGATTGTCACACATTCCGCACCTTGTTATAGTAGCAGGTGTGATGTAAGTAGCGGGCGTGCCAGTAGTTGAGGTTGATTGGCAATACAAGGAGCTCGAGATTGTGAAGTACACAGGTATCATTGTATCCTGCACACATCGTGGACGTGCAATATTTTGGAAGAGGCTTCAGTCACAGCCCAGTGATCTGCCAAGAAAATATTGACGTGCTCAACCTGGCGCTTTCGATAATCCTTCAACTTGCAGAAAAACTTGGGGGCAGCGTTCGCCGAGTCCCCACCGTTCGACCTTCAGGCGGCCTACGAAGACTCTGTCTGCATCACGCCGCTCATCTTCATCCTCAGTGCGGGTGCGGACGTCAACGACTACCTCTTGGGTCTGGGTGCTCAGAAGGGCAAGACACCGACAAACGGTGGCCTGAAAATTCTCTCCCTGGGACAGGGACAGGGGCCGATTGCGGAGCGGTTGATGGTATCCGGCAGGTGCGAGGCTTGGTTGCAGTAATGTACATGGCCTAGCGGTCCGTGTATTTCCTCGAAGGAGAGCGCGCGACCCGGCGATGGGAGTTCCGATGGTCACACGGCGTAGTTCTTTGACAACATTGTCTGGGGTGAAATTACTGGAGAGGTTCGTGGGGAAACCAACGGTCTTCTGACGCTATATCCCGTGTCAGGAAATGGTGCACGTGCATCGACTGTTGGAAGTCACAGCATGCGGGTGGAATTCTGAGACAGAACGATGATCGCCGAGGAATGCGCCTTGGCTTGGGGTGGCACATTCGCCATTCAGTCGCCGGCCAAATCACGTGTTTGGTCCTGCAGGCTTGCCACAAGCCGCCCAAGGTATAGAATTCACACCATCGGCAATCGCCCAGTCAAGCAACATACCTACTGTCACAGCCGTTTCACGCCAAGCTTTCCACAAGTCCAATGACGTGAAACCGTCTTTTCTGCCGTATCACACCATCGACCATTCACGTGGTAATTGCGACGATGACGGGCATTGAATTGTACCTTGTCACGTCCCTGACAACTACCGCACGACCCACCGACTCCAGAGATAACGGAGACTGGGTGTGCCTGCAGAACTGCCACCTGGCGGTCTCGTGGCTTCCTACGCTGGAGCAGATTCTGGAGAAGGCGAACGCAATTCCAGAGGACACCCACGCGGAGTTCCGACTGTGGCTGACCTCGAGCCCGAGCCCTCGGTTCCCGGTGGCGGTGCTCCAGAACGGCATCAAGATTACCAATGAGCCGCCGAAGGGGTTGCGAGCTAACCTAATGCGGGCCTTCAATGACCTCAAGGTTTGTGTGCATTGAGCGTGGCACGTGTGTGGTCGGTGAATGCTCTGTTAGCGAACGGCACGGTGACCCATAACCGTGGCCCATCCGTGGTGGGGTGACGAGGTGGTGTATGCTTGTGTACCATCGCATGATCTTCTTTCGACCTTCGGTCACGGGGAACACACTGAAAACCAGGGTTCCGGCACATCAACAAATCTGGAAGCTAGCGGCATGGGATTTGGTTTACTGTCATGGGCTCTACAGGCAGTAGTAGGATGACGTCCTTTCTGTCGCCAAAAGTATGACTTCGCTTGAAATTTATTTGCGATTGCCCACGTGTTCTACTCAAATTCCGAAGCCCCCCGTTCCTTATGCCTCCTCCATAGCGTAAGAACCGCCACCTTGACCAACGTTCATATGCTTTAATCAACCTTGGCTACGACCGCACACGCTCGAAATCCTCTCACAGCTTGTCCCATGCTCTCTTCCCTTCCCTGACTCTCACCGCAGGAAGAGGAGTACGAGTCGTGCTCGGCCGCCAGGGCATTCAAGAAATTGTGCTTCTCGTTGGTATTTTTCAACGCCCTTATTCTTGAGCGACGAAAGTTCGGAGCAGTTGGGTGGAATATCCCTTATGAATGGATGAACTCCGACTTGAAGGCCGCCATGATGCAGGTAGGAGAATACCGAATCGTGCTATACCCGTTCCTGCCACATTCCCGAACACGCTGAACTGCAATCTACGTATCGGGAACGCATGTGCATGGGTCCAAGTGGCCGTGATTTCGTCCCTTATAGAAGAAGGCTCGCTATCCGTGCTCTTCCCGCATCTTGACACGGTTCCAAAGCGACAAATGTCCCACAATAGGTGTATCCCGCACCTTGTGTTCGATGATTCCAGGCAAAATGTACCGTTCCATTCGGTCCCGATCCAGCCTACCGTGACTAAAACCCTCGTTTATCCTACCTTCGCTAGGTGCGCATGTACGTGGAAGAGCAGGACGACGTTCCGTGGGATACCCTGAACGTCATCGTGGCGGACGTGACTTACGGCGGGAGGGTAACGGACGTGTGGGACAAGCGCACCATCGCATCCATCATGCGACTCTACTTCGATCCAGGACTTCTTGACGACTCATACCGCTTCAGGCAGGCAGACGCGTCCCGGAAATTGAGAGACAAATTGTGCAGCCTTTGCCAGGCCACGTGGATGCGTCTGCATAACGCCTCAGGCATGTCGAATAACACCGTTCAATTAAATGTTGGAATATGCCACAACAATTCCTCGCGTCGAAACCAGACCTTCTTGTCGGTGAATCTGAAGAGCTAATTGTGCCTTCCGGATTTACAGCGAATCGGGCACGTACTATGCACCGAGTGAGGGGTCCCTGGAGGAGCTCAAGGAATATACGAGAGGATTGCCTGTGGAAGACCCACCAGAGACGTTCGGGCTCCATCCGAACGCTGACATCACTTTCCAGCAGGTTCGCTTTTCTTGGAAACTTGTTCGAACTTGCACGGGCTACCGTCGAAACGATCCATGATTGTCATACCAACAAGTCTTCGTTTGCTGTAGGCTTCATTTTTTGGGGCGGTGTCGTGACCGATTCCCATTAGGGGCGATTTAGAAATATTCATGCTCCATAAAAACTGATGCCCCTCGTGCAAGCGCTGTGATGTTGACCCTTCAGCTAGAACTTTGCAACCCCCTGATTGTGACTGCGACAACCATTTTCTTGAATACATATTGAAGGCATGCTTGAGCAACATGGTCACACTTCTGCAGAAAACCGAAAAGCTTTACCTGATGTGGTAACTAACGTTTTCACATTTTGTGGCACAGAATTTTACGAATAACACATTGGGGACGGTCATCGCGCTTTCTGGAGGCGGAGGCGGAGAAGGTGGCGATGCGGAGGACACGGATGTTCAGGTTTGGAATTCCGAACGTTGAACATCATGCTACTGTACAATCCAGTTCTAGTGTAGAACAAAGCCCTCTGTAATCGCCAAGATGCCGAGCGTGCTTGGTTGCAGCCGGGAGAGTTGAGCCAGCCATAGCATAAGCTCGCAAATGATGTGTTTTTCGGCAAGAGGAAGGAGGATGTGTTTGGATATAGGCAGGTACTCTTCTAGCCAATGTTGCGGCAATAGAAGTGGGGTATCAACAAACGATCGTGTGTGAAAACTAGCGGCATCAATTCGCAATGTGATGCTCAGTGCCGTTGCCCCAGTGTGACGTGTCCCTCAACCATTTCTGCAGCAATACCCCTTCAAAAAATTCTTTTCCCAGAAGGAAAACCCCATTTTTGGTCTTCCATGCAACATGTAGTTTCCAAGAGGATCTTCTGTTAGCTGATACCAACGACTGCATGCTGGCCTGTTTCATGTAATATAACCTTCCAGGTAGCGGAAGGCGCGAAACTCATTGCCGCGAGGATGCCGACACCATTCGACGTTAGAAAAGGACATGAAGAAACCTTCAAAAAGGTAAGACAACAGCAAAGCGCCAGTCGAGGTCTCCTTCCCCTCTCGGACCTTGTTGGTCGGCATTCATCCACAAGCCTCCAATTATTCCGAAACGATCAGCTCTCGATCATCGACGCTAATGTTTTTGGCCATGGCCCACACGCCCTCTTTTGCGTTCCTTGTCTGTAAGGTGGACGGCGCAATGAATTCCCTAGGGGTGTTCTTGGGGCAGGAGGCGGTGCGTTTTAACGGCCTCGTAGCGGTCATGCGAGCGACGTTGTCGGAGCTGCAAAAGGCCATCAGGTACATTTTTTACAAAAGCGTAAGACTCCTTGATATTGGGGAGCAAGATGAACGTCCAGCCGACAACAAAGTGCTGCTCAGAAGGGATGATGCTCAAACCCAGCCGGAGAGCCCCGCTTCCCCGTGATATTCAGGAATAGCACCGAACTACGTTATTCGGCATCGATATCGACGCATGACGTGCCATTAACTTAAATGTCATGTGTTGCGTCGGCTCGATAGCACATCAGATGTCGCTTTGTACTGCATAGTATACTATTCGCCATATGTATCATCCGTTGACAGGGAAATAACCCCTAGACCAAACGATTGTACTGAATTTATGGCGAAAGGGGGATCGTGGTGATGTCTGGGCCTTTGGAAGAGATGTACAACTGTTTCCTGTTTCAACGGGTGCCGCCAAGCTGGGAGAAGGCGGGCTACCCATGCTTGAAGCCTTTGGCATCGTGGACAGAAGACTTTTTTGGGCGGATCGCGTTCATCGGGGCGTGGCTAAATGAGGGGCCACGATCAAGCTATTGGCTGCCTGGCTTCTTTTTCCCGCAAGGGTGAGTGAAATGAGTGGATTTCTCCAGGGTGGTTCGGCGATTCCCCTTTGGAACATGGTGGACGTTCTCAAGTTCTATATCTAGGTCACGGACTCGTTCTCACAGGAAATTATCTTGGGCATGACGGACCGGCTATCGATCTGGACGGGGACAACGTATTCTGTTCGAATCAAGGAATAGTCGGGTTTGTCAATGATGCAAAAATCACACTGTCGTGGTCTAAATGAATGTATCAAATTCGCCTAACTGACCCTCGCAGGTTCATGACGGGGGTGAAGCAGACTTACTCGCGAGATTACAAGATCGCCATCGACACCCTTGTCATCGGCTGCCAGGTTTGGAGTACATTGTTCTTGCTGTTCTTGTTGTTCTTGTTGACGCAGTATTTTTCGTTTCGCACTTATGGTAAGATTATCACTTCGCTGTCATATCGTCAAAAGGCGATTGCTCTTGGACCACAGTTTCTCCGTGTTCGGGATAGATTGCAGATATATCTATTCTGGACAAGCACGTATCCATGCGTTGAAAACACGGATTTCACCTCCACAAGTGATCTATCTCCCTCTGCAAACGAAATGCACCATATATTTCTTTCACCTGTGTTCTACACTGAACGCTGCATTCGAAACCGTCTTCCTTGGCCCAATTTGTTGTAGGTGATGCCGTTCGGAGAGGATACGGTAAGTGGAGGGCCGCCGGACGGGGTTTTCATCCACGGCCTGTTCATGGAGGGAGCTCGATTCGACAGAAATGAGATGCTCATGGCAGAATCGGTGGGTGTTGGGGGATCGGGAGGGTACGCTTGGTGTACGTGCGCTCTTGTGTGGGTAGTTTGGTTCAGTTGTCCGCGGTTCGATTGTCGCAAGCCACTCAGCATGATGCTGAAGGACCCATGCCAACATTGTTATGATAGATTTGTCTGTCCTAAGACGGTTGCTGCTCAAACTACGTCCGAAGCTTCCCCATATGTACTGATGGGGTTGCTGCATAGGCGCCTAAGTGGTGGTGTTCTGTTTGGGTTCGTCGAACCCGCGCGTTGTGCCGCGAATTGTTTCTGAACGGTCTTCCAAGGAATTCCACAGGCAGAGGGAGCCCTGGGTGCCACTTGCTCAGCGTTTTCTAGCGGAGAATGACCATCGAATTTGCTCGCAAAACGCTGCGCGATTCCTCGCAGATTCCAAGTCGTTTGTTCGACGAGATGCCGTGCATCTGGCTCAAGCCATCAAGGAAAGAAGACGCTGACGGAAGCGCGGGCAATTTATACAACTGCCCTCTGTACAAAACGTCCTTGAGGGTGAGTGCGGCACAAAGGAGCTTGTAATTTGACGCCTTTCTCGCAGTACAAAACTTCCCAGTCCGAACTATGGATATACAGAATGCACGAGGATTGCAAACCCAAACGAGAAAGCGCGTTGCGTGGACCTGACGCTGTTATTGTTTTTGATGTGGGTTTCGTGCATTCGGCCATGTCTTGAATACCCCTCGTGAGTTGTACGAAGACCCACCTTTGTGCCTATTTCGGTGCTTCTACAGAGATCGTTGGTGGGTCGTCCTTGTCTATGTGTCTACCAACGACATATTGATGCGTTGAATACACAGTACCAACCGAACCGCTAATATTTACTTCACCAGGCCGGGACGCTGTCCACAACGGGGCACTCTACCAACTTCGTGGCACCACTTACCATCCCGAGCGGCAAGTCGGAAGACCATTGGATTCGACGAGGTTGCGCCATGCTCTGCATGCTGAACGACTAGACGACTCGAAGTAGAGGACAAGAGCTTCTTAACATGATCTTGCGTTTGAAAGGAGCTGCGATCAGCGTTGTACGGGAACTCGGAAATGGCGGAGCTTGACGCTTTGTTCATCACGGGAAAGTACACTGCAGAGACTCAGCTTAGAGAGGTTGCACGATAGATGAGGGCTCGTAGACAATTTGAGTCATGTGGACGTATGGGTATTATCAACCGGCTTCACGCCTCTCAGAAAAATATTCCCCGAGAAACCTTGTCAAGAAGGAGGAGAATCTGGTGGTGTCATCGACCGACCATCTACGTATTCCGAAAGGTCTGAACAACGTCTTATCGATGGCGAAGCACTTTTCAATGTCTGCTGCTGACGCGCGACGTCGTCAGTGTGCCCACTTCCTCCGTTCCCTGCGGGCGCTCTTATCAACAACGCGTTTCAGTTGGTCAAACGAAAAGATCCTAGGTCTCATCGTGCTTTCATCGGATACTTCGAGTCCATGTCAGACTTTGACGAGTGCAAACGATTATCCGAGTTCGCTCATCTCGATTCATAATGCTAGCTTCCATTTCACACTAACATCGCAAATAGCACTTCACGACGTGTAAGTCAACGAATGTCTTGTGTTCAACCTTCAAGCGATTGTGAGCGACGCCTTCGGCCGCCCGTAACGGATGTGTTGGGTTGAAGATATATAGTGAGTTAAGGTCGTGCCAAAGGCAGTCCATCGTATTTCAACCACAAGGCTGGATACAAATGTGGCAGTATCGTCCAGGCACCTTAACACACGGAATATTTCCACCGAGTGAAAAGACCGACGTAACTTTGGTACGTTTCGAAGGGACTCATCGTGGCTTTTTGACTGAAACCTCGGATTCTCGCCCCCAACCGACACTCAGGGATCAGAAGGGCATCTGTGGGGTTGCGATCCCGAGGTTCCTCTACTTATGTGCATCAAAGCATTCATTTTAAAAATACTGTTCAAAGCCATACGTTTGCAGCCCGTGCTCAACTACGCGTTTAGGAAGATGACTTCTCACTCTGTAGATTGGCCGTCACACACGATTTCGAGGGATCGCTGATGCCTTGTTTGGGAAAGAGCCAACCACACACATCATAAATATCCACAAGAAACACACCCTCTACCTGGAGCAAGCCAAGCGAGTCCGTCTACCTGCTTCTCGAGTTCCCAGCGCACTGGTACAAATTATATTCCGGCTGACTCTTCACGCAATACGTCCAACAAATTGAAGAGTAGATATTTTTTCGATGTAGTGACAGTAGAAATAAGTCCTACATATGTTGTTGTACTTCGTATTGGTTTGATAATCATGTAGAGTATGAGACAATAAGTGAAAGTTTTCTGAGGTACATCTGCAATTGTCGGAAGGCAAACAAAAGAAAAAAAAAAATATTGGTGTGGAAAAGAGGGTTTCGTCCTCGACAGACGTTGGGGAATTTCAACCTTTATGAAGGTGTTCTCCACGTTACCCCCCCCTTTTTCGAGGCTTCTTCTTGTTTGCTAGGCAAGAGAAGTCTTCTTGGGGTAACCGGAACCCGACCGGCTGGCGGCGAGTACAACCACCTTTTTTCCAACAATCTTCTGTGCGTGTTGCGGGTGCGCCACTTCCGCCACGCATTGCCAGAAGTTTCGAGTTCGATAGACAGTGCATCGTTTCTTGGCCCACCCACCGTTTTCCTTTTTCCGTACTCCGGAAGAAAATTGGGTGAGCAGCGGGTTTGAACCCGTGTCTTTTGCAACCAAAAGCAGACACCTAACATCTCTTGTCGACGCCATTGTGGAAAAGAGGGTTTCGTCCTCGACAGACGTTGGGGAGTTTCAACCTTTATGAAGGTGTTCTCCACATTGGCACTGTCTTAAATAAAGTCTGGGTAAGTGAGTGGGAAAAGGGGGTGAAAGGTGCTCTCTCCGGATGCTTGCGGTCCATATTAGCCCTTTGCCTGTGAGATTCTGAGTGGTCTCCGGACGTGCACAAAGTAGCTAGTATGGAGTGAATGGACGGCGTACTCCGATCCGTTGCAAAGAGATGCCATAGCTCAAATCGCTGGACCTGAGCCGAATAGCCTGTGACATGACTTGGTTGTTGAGAATAATCATATTTCGAAACCGGCTCTAAGTCAACAGCAATTAATTCATTGGGTCGTACAATCACATCTATCTCTCGAATTCCGTACTATCATAGAAAGTGTGTTTGAGTGACATTTAGCCAAACTTCCTGCCAACAAAAATGAATTCCACTGGAGTTGAAACTGCTCTATCTGTTGCGGGAAGGAAAGAGCACAAACACGTGATATGGCTTACAACATCACTTTAGGTGCGGCCATAATTCGACTTCTCTCATTGAAAGTGGCATTTGATTGTGCGTGCAGCGAAGAGTAACTCCAGGGAACGAACTTGGAATTTTTTTTGGAGGTCGGTTGATGTCGTGCTCTCCGTTACTTTAGGTTAATAGCAGGAGGAACCTTGGCCTATGCTTGCGGTCCTTGTCCCCCTCAATTATCACCGTAGAGATAAAATGCTCGTGGTACTTCGAAACCATTACCAACGTGCTTAGACAAGGGAATACCATTGACGCCCGCCGGTAGATAGGTAGCAAAGGCGCAGGAGGGTTGCAAGTGTGATGTGCGGTTGTATCAAGACCCACAAACAATACCTTGGAGTTGGACATGTTCACACGCTGGGTGAATTCCGGCCTACAAAATTTCGCGCTATGTATACCAATGTATGCGTGCTTCTGCGATCTGCACCTGCAACATGTAGCTCAGTGACAATGTCAATGTACTGATGGAGTACACCTGCAAAGTAAAGCCTGGAATGGAGTACTGTGACCAACTGATGACTTCATGGGGATACGTCTACATTCGAAATATGGTAGATATGAACGCTTTCCCGTAACGCAATCACTGCCTCGATGAACGATTCACTCCACCGCAAGCTCAATGGGGTATACGTGCAACAGGAGGTGAAGTTTTAACGTAGGCCCGTTCCTATACGGTGGTTGGCCATATCTGTTGTAGCCAACGTGTTAATGAGAGAGTGAATAAATAGTTCCGCCATGAATATGGTATGTATTCTACGCACATGAATGGCAACGGAGGACAAAAAACAATTGAACAGAACGTCCGTCAAAACCTGCACATTTTCAGTACAAGAGTAGACATACCGTTCACATGCGCTCTAGAGAGGCGTTGTCTCTCTTTGAAAATATATTTCTGGATTCAACACAGGGAAAATACTTGTTCCATCGTTCATTGCTGTGTGAATATATATATTTATAATGTAAATAGCGATATATATATTTTTGCCTTCCGACAATTGCAGATGTACCTCAGAAAACTTTCCTCAGAAAACTTTCACTTAATGTCTCATACTCTACATGAATATTAAACCAATATCGTCGAGTATTACTAAACGTGTTACTGTACGTGTGAACAACGCTTGGTAGTTTTGTATCATGCGCGGATTTTTTGAGGTGCGCATGAGCTGTAAAAGGTACAGTGTCTTCGCGGAAGAGGGACCAAACAATAAAGCCTCTCCCCCGGTGTTTACCATCGGGATTGGGTTTTCGTCCCTTGGCAACGACGTTGCAAAACAAGCCGCCCCCCCCGGTGCTTGCCATCGGGGTCGGGTTTTCGTCGCTTGGCAGCGACGTTGTAAAACAAGCCAATTCACTTCTTGCGCTCGACAACCAGGTCACCGGTTATTTTTTTACCTCTGGCTTTCTTTTTTTTTTGGCGGTAACCATAAATGGTGGTCAAGCATCCTCGAGGCAGTTGCACAGTGCTTACAACTGTCTCTGGAAGGAAAAGCACCAGAAAAGAAATTAAGTTAAACGTCATCCGTACGCAAGGAAGTAAGCACAAGATGCCGAACACCCTTAGCAGGATGCAGCGCACCCTTCATGCGACTCGCCGAATATCTCACGGCGCTTCGCGCTTGGTGATGTGAGAGCCTGGTCCGGTGAG